TTCAAGGTCTATTACTCATAAAAGTTTGGTGTTTTAATCTTTTACCCGTTTTTGAGATCTCGCTCAGACAACTTCTCATTTTAAGGACAGAAAAACAGGCGACCGGAAGTGAATTTTTAAAAGATATTTAATGTTACTCTAGACATTTGCAGTTTGAATAACATATTTTAAATTCAATTCAAATACTTTAACTATAAAGTGTATTTATGGGAAAGTAAAATACTCAAATGATGTAGTTTTTCTCTTAAACCGGAAGTTGCCGTTATTGTTTCCGGTGGGATCAACATCTTTCGAATCTGCGAAAAAGATGCAATAAAGTGATGCAATTTTTAATTAAAAATCGAAAAGTCTAAATTTTCGATTTCTTTGATCACTTCCTGTGACGACTGGAAGAGACGGCTGACGCTCTTAACCCAAATGGTTTTGCCTACATTTTAAGGTCTGTTGCTCATATAAATTTGGTGTCTTAATCTCCTACCGTTTCTGAGATCTTGCTCAGACAACTTCTCATTTTGAGGACAAAAAAACACGCGACCGGAAGTGAATTTTACAAAGATATTTGACGTAACTCTAGACATTTGCAGTGTGAATAACATATCTAAAATTCATTTCAAATACTTTATCTACAAAGGATATTAATGGGAAAGAAAAATACTCAAATTATGTGGTTTTTCTCTTATAACCGGAAGTTGACGTTTTTGTTTCCGGTGGGACCAACATATTTCGAAATTACAAAAGATATGCAATAATGTGATATAGGTATTAATTTGAAAAAGGAAAGTTGAAATTTTACGATTTCTTTAATCACTTCCTTGAGCGACCGGAAGTGCCGACGACGAACGAAAAGTAGCGACCAGGCTTGTACCTATTACGATCTATAATCCCTGAAAGTTTCACATTGATATCTTTTACCGTTCCTGGGATTATCCGCGGACAAAATGTCATTTTACATTCAGAAAATGGTCTGTAACTTGGCACCGGAAGTAAAATTTCCAAATTTTCTCTCAGATAGGTCAAGTTCATGTTACGACACATCTTTCCTGAAAATTTCATGTAAATCCATTAAATATTCTTCGAGAAATCGCGTGCACAAAATTAGAAAGTCAAAAAAATAAGAAGAACTAGATGCGTTTCTTGTTGCTAGGGCAACAAGTGATCTTCCGACCGAACTTTTCCCCAGATCGCTATGCTCCCTCACTTCATTTAATACTTTATTGAAGGTATTTTTTTGCGCTTATGTAACACAGTCTTTCAACATAGATCATGATTATTAAAGGATTTCTGTAGAATCTCTGTTAAAACAGCTTTAAAAAATAAGCAAAAACTATCATACATGTCTTCACAGAGAAAAATATCATTTACAACTGAAAAAAGAGAGAAACAATCTCCCGCCCCAGCGGGATTCGAACCCGCAACAATACGAGAAAGTTTGGATCGGTCATATCTTTGCAATAAATGCATCAATCAAAATGATGAAAACATACTTAGAACTCTTAGAAGACTCTCTATTAACCTTGTAAATGTAGATATGTTGATCGACCATTATTTTTCGTCGTTCGTACTTCCGGTCGCAAACGGAAGTGAATTCAAAAATGTTAAATTTGTAACTTCTTTGTTTTTCAATATTTTTTTTCTGGAATTCCCTCCAAAATGTGCCCTACAACTGAGTTTGACATGCCCCCTGAAAAATCTAAGCCGATGACCCATTTATTTTTGGCATAATTTTCTGGTAAATTGTCTTGTCAACATTGTCCTTTAATATGAATAAAAAATCTATTGCAGAATTTTTTTCAATGATCACTCTTATACCTTACAAAGGCAATTCCCCATTACTTTCTATAGTAATTATCGATTTCCATCTCCAACTTTTGGAACGCTCCCCATTACAAATCTACATCGATGACCATATGATTTTTTTTATTGATTTTAACTCACCAAAAGTCACTTTACCTCATATTAAAATTTGAATAAAAAATCTATTGCAGAAATAAATTAGGTCCGTCGTCGTTAACGGAAAAAGCTATTTGATGCTCTTCACCTAACGGAATAGGTTGTATGGTGTTCCGAGTGTTCAGTTACAGTTTTCAGTATACCGACTTTGACTTATGTATTTATGTTTTCATGACAATATAGCAAGCGAAACATTTGTTCCTTGTTACACTTAGTCAAATTAAGGCTAACAATTTGGAAGTCTTTTCACTTATTTTTTTTTTTTAACATTATGATGCATAGAGTCACTTAGCCTTTCCAGTTGATTTATCTATGGTGCTCGGTTTAAGCCAATGAAAAAGGAGATAAAAATGATTTTTTTATTTTGCTATATTGTAAGGAAATTTTCGTAAAACATCTTAGATATTATAAGGTCTTGGTCCATCAAACCCTCTCATTTGAGGCATGCTGTGGCGTTGCAATGTGTTGCCCTAAAGGATGTTCACATAAGTGCATGACTTCAGCTTTTGAAAACTTCTTAGCTAAGAGTCCTGATGAAAGGGTTGATCCAAACGTAATGTCACAACTGCTCTAAAATGTTTAATAATTAATTTTTATCAATAAAATTCGGCATTCTAATACCTCTAATTTTTATTGCCTTAAAATTTCATGCGATTAAATAAAGTACTTTGTAAAGTAAAACATCAAGAACAAGATGTGTTTGTGAAACACTGATGCCCCGTATGGCAACTTATAGCAAAGGGTAAACTTTCTCAAAGGCAAATCAAATATGTTGCTACCCAAAGTAAGGTCTTGTCTCGAGGAATAAACCTGTGAAATATGAGAGCCCTAGCAGCAACCATTGAATAGATATGGAAAAGGTTAAAGTTTTTCAAAAGTAAGTCAAACATCAAGGTTAAGGTCAAATGGTCAAAATCAATGGTACCTAAGGAAAGGCCTTCTCACAAGAAATATTCTGGTGAAATATTAAAGCTGAAGCACCAATCATTCAAAAGTTATGACCATGGTTTATGTTTTTCAAAAGTAGGTCAAACTCCAAGGTCAATGGATTATAATTGTTGGTATCCAAAGGAAGGTCTTGTCACAAGGATTACATATGTGAAGTATGAAAGCCCTATAGCTAGCTCCAACGGTTCAATAGTTATGGCCAAGGTTAAAGTTTTTCAAATGTAGGTCAATCTCCAAGGTCAAGGTCAAAGGGTCAAAGCTGTTGGTATCCAAAGGAAGGTCTTGTCACAAGGATTACATATGTGAAGTATGAAAGCCTTAGCACATACCGTTCAAAAGTTATGGCCAGTGTTAAAGTTTTCCAAAAATAGGTCAAACTCCAAGGTCAAAGAGTCAAAGTTGTTGGTATCCAAAGAAAGGTCTTGTCAAAGAATTACACATGTGAAGTATGAAAGCTCTAGCACCAATTGTTCAAAAGTTATAGCCAAGGTTAAAGTTGGGTAAAATTTTGCAAAAATGGATCAAACTCCAAGGTCAAAAGGTCAAATATGGTGGTACCTAAAGAAAGGTCATGTCACAAGAAATACACATGTGAAATATGAAAGCCATAGCTCCAACCAATCAAAAGTTATGGGCAATGTTAAAGTTCTTGCGGACAAACAGAAAAACAAACAGACAGACAGACAGACGGACGGACAGGGCAAAAACTATATACCCCCGAATCTTCGATACGGGGGCATAAAAACACAACGCTAGGTTTTGTCTATCGCCGCACGGTGAGAATCATACCGACTTCGTTATGACGTTACTTTTCGGCACTCACTTTCAGTTCATCCGCATGTCTTTTAAACCTCCGGACGTGTTTCTTTTTAATAATCCTCACTGCCATTTTGCATTAAAAAGCCTTGTTTTGAGTTGTAGTATTAAAATGATTTGAACTTTGTCCAAATGTTTTTTTTTTTAAATTCATTTCTTTTGTGTAGATCTTATGTATCAACAGATTCAAAATCGAAAACAAACGTCACAACGACGTCACTATTCTTGCCGTGCGGCGGTAGATGAGACCCAACGTTGTGTTTATTCCAATGTTTTATAAAGTGTTGCTTATATCTGAATGAAATTTTAGGACAAAGGTCAAAATAGTTAGATATACTAGTATATAAAGTTTTGTTGAAAACTTTCGATTTTTAAATAACTATAGAGTTGTGACATTACTCTTGGATCAATCCTCGTATTTACAAGGAAGAGTGTCATCAAACATTGTAAAGTTGATGCATCTCAAGTCCTCAGATTTAAATTTGTTAAAATCATGGTCCTCGGTGGTAGGCTAGGGCCACATTAAGGGAACGAACCTTTGCATATTTATTCACATGTATATTGAAAAACATCTAATTTTTTTCTCAAGAACGGCAGAGCCATGATACATGTCAATGATACAAATATTTCATGCAAGCTCAGTTACTACAGATTCAAGATTTCAAATCATATTCCCTGGAACAATTTGGGGTCACATCAGGGGATCATATGTTTACATGAATATATAGTCGATTTTTTTTTTTTAATCTTCTTCTCAAGAACAGCAGGGGACATAATAGTTGATATTATTTTGTAAGCATTCTCCATTAGTACAGATTCAAATTTGTTTAAGTAAATCACGTCTTTCGTAACTCTTGAGGGTAGGTGGGGTCATAGTAAGGGATGAAATTTTTACATGTGAGTTAAAATGTTTTTCAAAACAACAGGGCAAGGTGACTCTGGTGAGATTTGTGCCCCATGGGACTCGTTTAAATATTGCAGAAACATGTTCCTGCAAATCAAAATTCACGAAAAAAGAGCACAAACATACTTTTTTCTGCGAACCATTTTGTACCTTTCATTTTTTCTTAATATTGCTATTGAAAGTGACACATAATTATTTAATTCATTGTAGCATACATACTACAGATTACATAGCGACTTCAAGTGACATTATAATGCTAAATTTTGCAGCAAATGTATATTTTTCAAGGTGATTTTTGGATGTACCACACTTCATATTCAATATGATATTTATGTATTCTCAGTAGCCCCCGTTGACGACTTGGACCATCTACATCATGACCATGGCAATCGTCAGCACCCAGCAGAAAGTACGGCAGTGTTCTCAATGTCAGGAAAATACAGAATTCTACTGTAACACATGTAAATACAACCTTTGTCAACAGTGTAAAGAAAGACATGTTATTGATCTAGATACCAAATTCCATGATGTTGTGATTTATCGTGAGAAATATGAATACATCCCAAAACAAGAAACCTGTGTGAGACATCCAGGCAAAATTTATGAATTGTACTGTCCCTCTTGTGAACTTCCTGTCTGTTTCCAATGCAAAGAACGACATGAAACACACAATATTGTGAACATTAGAACAGCTTATAAAACAAATCGACACCATCACAAAGAAATCATTCAGAACATCAGAAGTGATATTATCTATAACAGCTATTTTCTTCTGGCAGGAATCAAAACTGATGTAAAAAATAGAAAAACTTGTCAAACAAAGATCTCCAACCTTCAAATAGGAATGTCAGAAAAAGGCCAGAAACTAAAGATAGTCATTGACAATGCGATATGTGATATTTTACATTTTATGTCTCAGAGATTACCACAACAAAAAAGAAAAATGACCAGATACCTTGTCAGCATAGAGAACTATATGTATAAATATCGATTGAAACAGACAGCAAACAGACCTGTGCAATTCCTATTATTCCTAAAGGAACACCATGTTCACAAGATAAAGGACACTCCTAATCTTGCAAAACACGCTCGGTTGTGCATGGAAATAAAAATGAAGTTTGGAATGACGTTTATGAGTGGTATTCAAATCATAGAGTCAGGAAAAAGACAAGCTACAAATGAATGTCTTCTGAAAAGGATGTATACACCCGTGTTAAAAAGATGTGTCATAGTTGAAGGGAAAGGAATGGGATATGTATCTCACATTTCACATGTGACACCGGACCAGGTATGGATTAGTGATTGGAACAATCTCATCTTAGCAAATATGGAAGGTAACAGACTGCATCATCTGACAGATATACTTAGTGAATGGGGAGTACACACAGTGAACATTACCTGTGAACTTATCTATATAGACAGGTATTATAACATTAAAAAACTTTCTAGAGATAACAGAACATTGACAACACTGATTGAGAAAACAGAATATTGGGAACCTCGCTGTGTCAAAAGTTCCTCCATCAATGGAGATCTACTGGTCGGGATGAGGAATACTCGTTCAAAAGCAGCCAAAGTAACACGGTTTAACGACAAATTACAATTTATACAGACAATACAACACAAGAATATAGGTCAGATATACAGTAATCCTGTCCACATCACAGAGAACTGCAATGGAGATGTTATTGTGTCTGACTGGGACCATGGTGCTCTGGTGGTGACAGATAGTGCAGGAAGATATCGCTTCTCCTACCCTGAGTCAAGATCGATATATCCACGTGGGGTCTGTACAGACGTGTTGTCAAACATTCTGGTGTGTGATGTTAGGCCTGCCACTTACAATATACACGTGGTGAACAAAGACGGTTTCTTCCTGTCGAAGATACTGTCACGAGAACATGGGATATACACACCAAGGGGTCTGAGTTATGATGAAAAATCTCACCTTTTGTGGTTTGGATCAAGTGTCAACAGGGTGTATGTATACAGATATATAAACAGGGACTATCAAACAGGTGAACGTAATTAACTTATCAAAGAAATACAAGAATACGTGCAAACGCTTGAGTATCTGTTCTGTCAAGGTAGTTAACTAATTAGAACATGTACACATACATATAGGTACAGGATCATCTGAGAGGTTTTTTAATACCTAAATAAAATACATGTTCACATACATACAGACACACAGACCTATCTTACATGTCATGGCATTTAGTTAGTAAGACATATACACATATACAGAACTATATCTGACAGGTCATTATAATTAGCTACTTACTATACTTAGATACATGTACACAAACATATAGGTAAAAGACTATCTGACACCCGACCCCACCTATATTCAGGGGTCCGTGTTTCCTCTGCTTACAATATGTATTGATTAAGTGGACTTTTGAGTATGATTAATGTTCGTTATTTTCACATGTCATAAATATATTTTTTCTTGCTGATTAACAAAACAACTACGTCGATATGGGGGCATTAAGGTTGGACAACTGGGATAAACTTTTTGTGGCGTTTGAAAAATTACATAGAAGTATGTCTTTGTATTAAAATAGGCAATTATTGTGTGTGTGGGTGTGTTGGTGCGTGTGTGTGTGTGGTGAAATATGAAGATAAAGAAAAGATATCAAGCTCGAAATTCAATTAAAACAATACAAATACCCGTGAGCATATTACAGAGGCAACTAGTTACAATTTCCAGGGACGACATTTCAATGTCAATGCAGATATGACGTGCGAAACTAAGAACGTAATCTATGTTATGCCCTTGATGTTAGGAATTTTACATCGTAGAAACAAGCGACACACTAAGAGCTCGGATACGAGTCCAAAAACAGCAAATAAATAATCCGGAATATAGACAAATTCAACTAAGTGAATATTTAGATGTATGCGGGAACAGACAATTTACTGTTTTTCCCTTTTGTAAGATGCTGTTTGGAAATCACATCCAATGAAGAAAAAAGAGAAACACTTTATTAATACCTTAAAACAAAGCTTATTATCATTTTTGATTTTCCCGTAATAACACGCTGGAAAATAAAGTAATAATGACTTTATAACATTCCGCTTATTATGACGTCACAATATCACAATATATGTTACCATGTGACAGTTAGAAAACTTGTTTATGAAGCATCTGAAGATTGTAAATGAAAGCGCTAATGCTTTACTGTGTAAATTTCTTCATGTTTTCACATTATATATATATATATATATATATATATATATATATATATATATATATATATATATATATATATATATATATATATATATATATATATATATGTATGTATGTATGTATGTATGTATTAGGGATGGCAATCGAATACAGAATTGCTAATCGGTTAACCGCAAGACGTTCCGACCGATTAACCGGTTAATCGTATCAAAATACACATTTTGTTAAGAATAGTTCTATCCATATACACAAGAAGACTAAAAAGGCGTTAGAAGTAAGAATCATTCTGGTTTTCTTCATCAGGAAACTACATGTACATAGATTTTATTTCAATTTCAATAGACAAGAAAGAAATTAAGAAAACCATGAAGCATGCCTGAGAAATCAGACATTGACAACACAAGTTCTATCTGCATTGTCACCATAATCAAAACTAAGTCTGAACTTTCACTTAATTTAAACTGTTTGTCTAATAATATAATTTAACAGATAACGGCAAAAGATAGACACACTTTATTATTCACAGTGCTCAACGGTGTTTTATTTAATATCATTAAAGAATTACAGGACAGCCGGGTAACGACATGGTGTTTTTAAAAACAGTAATTATTAATTCAGAAAATGACTAATTACCCCCTCGATCTCATATCGGAGAGTCATAATTACCTCCAAATCAGCTTGAATAGATATGTAAAAACGCTAAATTATAAACTTTGATGAAAAGATTCCTTTTTTTAAGAAATAAATTTCAAGAATATTGCACTAAACTTTACATATATTTTATTTTTTCCGACTAACCGATTACAGATTTGCTAACCGATTACCACCGTTCCGACCTAGTAATCGGTTAACCGGTTACAAATTGCCATCCCTTATATATATTTATAATGCTTCCTTTGGTTGTTAGTAAGGGAATTAATGTTGTAGATGTTGCAGAAAAAATACGTAACCCGCGTAAGCGTTTTTTTTTTTCTGCAATAGCTGCAACGTTAATTCCCGTACTAACAATCAAAGAAAGACATTTTATTGTTTATAATTATATCTGTACAAATAATTATCTAAAATAAGATTTAGGTAGCTTAAATATTGCATTATTGATATGTACGTCATTGTACGTTTCATTGATGGAACAGCCACTGCCCAAGAAATCTGTAGAGGTGATATGCTTAGTGGTGTTTACTGGCTGATAAACGGCAATGATTTTCTTAAGAAATACAGGAGAAAATATTCAATGAATATATATATATATATGGGTGAATTAAAAAAAATGACCACCAAACTGAATTTTTTGGAAAAATTCAACTACGTATAACATATTTTTCATTTATATTATCTTATTGCACATGCATTCCAACTTAAAATCCGGCAATTGAATAGACAATTGGATTAAAAAGTTTCAGAATTTTTATTAGTAAAATTTCTTTTGAAAAAAGAAAATATCATTACACCTTAAAGGGCTTTCTAAAATACAAAATCACAAGAAATTTTAGTTTTTTATGCTTCAAAATGGTAAAAGGGGTATAAATGATTAAATCTAGACCTTGATTATCTTCTCTTGTATATGCGAAAAAAAATTGGCTTTTTGATTGTTATTTTACATTATTTTTTCAATTCTGGTTTGAAAGTTTTAATATGAAAAAAATATGAAGCAATAAAATTCCCCAAATTTCATTTCTTTTTTTGTCCGTTCAAGTCAGTTCTTTAAATCTAAGCCAAAAAAGAATTTTTATTTACGAGTTCTCTTACAAAAAATACTAGATTTTGAAGTGACCTTATGTTACATTATTGTGTTGCACTCCTGACATCTGATATGTATTTTATTTAACATTGTTTTAAAAAATATAACACACAATAACCCATTCTTACTTTGTAAATCAATTTGTCGTTTTGATATTTTTCATCGTTTACAGCAGGTTTTTCATATTTTGAAGACCTCAACACATGATTATTTGCAAAGTGTAATGTATATAAATTGTATTTAAAAATATATGTGAAATGATAAAAACTATTCCCTGAATTGACTGTAAAATTTCTGTAATTGTTGATAGACATAGTGTTTTGAACATCAAATAGTATCAAACATTTTTTTTCAACTTATTTATAAGTAATGATAATTAAAAAGCATTGGTAATCATAAAGCAGTTTTGTTGCACTCCTGACTGCAGTAAAATTTAAAATTAAAACCATAGAATACAAAAATTCATAAAGTGTTGGCAACATCAAGTGGTAATGAAATTGTGCAATATTTATAGGCCATTACTTCATAATTAAAACAGATGAAAGTATTTAAAATTCGCATTTTATCTGGAATTATTCCCTATTTATGCCAAAAAAACTAGCTTAAATGTATATTTAGAAGATAAAATATATTTTATAGCATATTTTCCTTTGGAGGACAAACACAGTAACCCACCAGAAAAATTATACTCGTCATTTTTTTCTTTATTTTTATTCTTATTGGATGATTTATAATTCTAACATATTTGTTGCACTCCTGACCAAAAGCATAGGGGCCTTAAAAGTAGAATTGTGAAGTGAAAATTACATAAGAATTTGTTCTGTTGTTTCAGTGAGTTTGAGGAGGAATTACTTGAATTTTATGACAATTGTTTAGTGTATTTATTTCCAACGTTCATTAAAAAGTCACAAAAAAGATAAAAACACATTTGAATTGATAAAATTGAAAAAGAAAGGATTTTAATCATAAAACTGTCAATAATTTAGTTTTAAATTATACAAAAAGATCATTATTAATTAATGAGTACTTCTTAGCTTGAATAGAAGTGTTTTTGTCAAAATGTGTTGCACTCCTGACCACAGAAATATAGATCTGAAGCACAGACAGACCCTGTAATTGATAAATCTATTTGATAAAAATGTTCTTTGTGTCTTTATTTTTCAAAATAAAAATCAGAAAATCATGTAATGATAATAGTTTTTTCATGCTCGGGAGCAAAACATCAAATGTTGCACTCCTGACATTATTGGGTATGCACATATATTTGACTCTCACTAATGCTGCTTGTGATTTATATAACATTAATAAGTTTTAAAATGTATATCAGTTATTGTTTTACACTTTGAAAATTCTTTTTTGTCTCAATTTTCTTTCAGAATTTTACAATTGGAGTTTTTTTTTTTTTTTTTGGCAACACTACATTTTTTCTGTTGCACTCCTGACATGGTATAACAGTTTTTTAAACATCAGCCATTACCACAACTTGATTAAACAAAAGTTACTACAGTCCACATTTAAAGCTCAATACTTTGAATATTATCAGGAAAGTCTTTATTTTCAACATAAAGCATTATTATTCATTTCACAGATCTCCAAAAAATATTGAAATTTCAAAATGTCACAAAAAGGTGTTGCACTCCTGACAATTTTGGCATCATTTTTGGGCATAACTTTTTTTGTTAACTGATATATCAACTAGATATTTGGTAGGTATTTAGACACTATCTAAAGACATACGGGGTTGGTCATGTGATCAAATACCATAAAGCACGAAGGGCTCTATTTATTGTAGATTTGATCACTCTTCTCATAAAATGAATGTTTTATATGTAATTTTCCCTCCACCGTTTGTTAACGAATGACAAGGACGTCAATTAATAAACTGATTATACATTGATGGATATGAAACAAATGATTTTAATATAAACACATCTTTACATATGTGTTTCAATCAATATTGACTAAAATTGTTCATTTGTAAGTCAATTAATATCGGTAGAATGATTTATCAAATAAATATAGGATCTCCTATGGTTTGTGGTTGGATAAGATTTTTTTATCCAACGAGTTGTGTGTTTTTATCCCCGTGTCTTGGCGAGGGGAAAAACACACAAGGTATTTCATATTATATGTAGGTATTTCATGTTTTAACTGTTTTATATTTGTAAATCAACAATATCTGACTTGATCAAATGCACACAAAAACTATTGTGACGTCACACTGTGGATATAAAAACGATATCCTATGATGTATATCCACCGTATAACGGTGTAAACATGTGATAAAATTAACTAAAACTCTAAACAAACTGATGAAATAAAATAAAAAAATCAAATAAAACTTTGGACCCACCCTCGATACTACTTATCATCGTCCTTTACACCCTATGGTGTGTAGGGCAGCAACAAACCTCCTCCACTCTTGCCTATCCTGGGCCAGCCTAGTTAATGATCCCCAGATCTGGTGCATGACTTTCATCTCACTTTTCATTGTCCTTCTCCATGAGGCTCTAGGCCTTCCTATCTTTCTTTTGTCCTCTGGTGTCCAGTGCAGTCCTGTTGTTTTTGTTGACTGGTGGTCTTTTAGTATAACATGTCCTATCTATCTCCATGGGCGTTTGGTAATGATGGTTCCCATGTCTTCTTTACATCTGCTCAGCAGGTCTTCATTTGTAATCTTCTTCGGCCAGAATATCCTAGGTATTCGGCGGAGGAATATGGTGTGGAAGGATAGTAGTTTGGTAAGATCTGACTCTGTCATTCTCCAGTACTCCGATCCATATAGGGAGTTTATACAACACAGTTCTGATAAAAACCTCAGCTTGGTGCTGGTGCTGAACTGTGCAGACCTCCAGATGTTATTCATTTCTCTAAATACTCTCCTGGCCTTGCCCAGTCTGCTGTGGATGTCCTCCTTTGTGCCGCCCTCTAGTTCAATGATGCTACCCAGGTAAATAAAGTTGTCCATCTGGCCTGTAGTTCTTCATCACTGACCGTAACAGGAGCAGGGAATTCCACATTAAGTGTCACTGGCTTTGTCTTCTTGGTGTTGATACGTAGCCACATCTGCTGTCCGTAGGTTTGCAGTCTGTTGGTCTTCTCTTGGATGTGATGGTGTTTGTGAGACAGCAGCGCAAGGTCGTTCGCAAAGTTCAGAGTCTCCAAAGTTGAGAACTGGCCCCAGTGGATTCCCCTTGGAGATCTTCTGTCATTTTCCCCATGACCCAGTTGAATACTACTGCAGACATCACGCATCCTTGTCTAACTCCGTTTTTTTTTTTTTTTTTTTTTTTTTTTTTTTTATCGAAGAAGGTGTTGTTGTGTCTTACTGAGCATCTGAAGCTGCTGTAGAAGCTCTTGATCTGATGGACCAGCTTGGGTGGAATTCCATAATGACGTAGGATGTTCCAAAGGCTATCTCGATGTATCTAAGTTCACGAAGTTTACATACAGTAGTTTTTGCCACTCTGTGCACAACTTCTTTATATTGCAGAGTTAAAAAAGACCTAGTCAGTACATCCTCGTTGTTGCCTAAACCTTGCTTGATCCTTCCTCAGTACAGCGTCTACAGCATTTGACATTCTTTCAATGATTATCTTGGCCAGGATCTTACTTGGCAAAGGAGTGATTCTCCTCAGTTGTTGCAATCGCTCAGATCTCTTTTCTTTGAGATCTTAACAATCACCCAACCTAAACCAATCACCAGGCACTTTCTCTCCTTCCCACACAGCTGTGAACAGTGGTCGAACAGTGGCCTGAGGATGTTGGCTGCTATTCCAGGGTCCGCCTTAAATTGCTGTGCATCAAGAGTGTCAAACCCTAGTGACTTACCGTTCTTAAGGGTCTTGATTGCATCAATTATCTCATCCTTGGTCAGTGGGTCAGTGTTGATGTCCAGATCCTCCGTGGCTTCTGGTATGACAGCTGTTTCATCAGGTGATGGTCGATTAAGTAGTTCGCTGAAGTCTTCACCCAATCTCTTCTTGTTCTTTTTCTGTTGTCAGTAGTGCCCCATGTTTATCTTTAATAGGTCCTCCTGTGTTTCCTCTAAATTTACCACACACTTGTTTTGTGATGATACTACTTGTACACCTGTTAGAGGGGTACATGAGTAGTACTCATCTTATTCAAAGTCCATTGGTCTAAACTTTACTTCCAAATTTCTGATCTGAGACAAAGACACTTTCAGTTAGACTGTTCATGAGTATTCATGACCATTGTAACAACGAAATCTCTGACTGTCTGTTTTAAGGTACCATAATTTACTTTTCTTTTAAAACACATTGATTCAATATTCATAATAACTAACTTCTGGAATTAGTAAACTGAATGAAAGAGTTTTGGAGTGAGAGATAAAATCTATATTGCAGAGTCAACATTTATAAGACTCATTACATATAAAGAAAGAGTCCAGCTCTGTTCCACAAATAGGTACAAATATATGTTCTGGTCCCAAGACCATAAACTGAGAACAGACTTGTCAAAATTTTGATTTTTAATATCTTGAGTTTTATCTAATGTATTTGCGTAAAAATTTGCAATTTTGTATAACATTTCAATTCAAACATATGATGAAAATTTTGTTTCATTATCAAAATTATTTTCAAAATTATTATGGCTTGAAATTTTGACTTAAGTCTGTTCTCAGTTTATGGTCTTGGGGCCTGATCTACAATTTAGGTTTATTATTTTATTCTGAAAATTGCAAACATGAAATTTAGTAATAATTTCTGTTTATTATAATGTCAACATATATGCATGTTTAATATAAGTTATACTTGTATTTCTTTGTATTTTATAAAGGTCTAAATCAAGGGGAATAACTCTTGAATTCCTCAGATGTGATGTAATGATGTTTTAGGACTTGTTAATGTAAATTTACTATTGATGCATTGTGAATGAAATATGCATTGTATTTCAGGGCAATGACTGGCCAATTGATCAAATAATAATGATGGAATAAAAATCATAGACAATCGAACCAGCATGTGTTTATTTCATCTTTAACCCCTGCTACAAGTGTACTCATTATGCTCTTTTTAATCGCACACTCTGTCCAAAGCCCTAAAAAGAGCTAGATTCACTTTATCCATAAAATGGCCCTCCCCATATACCAATTAAATGACCAAGTCCCAGTGTCCTATTTCAAACATCAATATAAAGTAGAGACTTAGTGCTTGCGTTTTTTTAAAAAAATGTTTCCTGTGAAAGTCCAGGTATTGAAAAACAGGCTTCATGAAATTGCAATGTTCCTAAGTTTTAAAGAAAGTGGGTGTATTTGAATACCTTCTGATAGGAATTAAAATATGCCCACCCCTCGATCCAAAAAATAAAACATGGATTATAATCTTCTGAAGTTACAGTGATACTTTATCTGTATCACTCCTCATCCTAAGCATGGCAAACGGGTCCATGCAAAATTCCAAATGTGCCTCAACCAAGTGATGACCCTGAATGAAAGGTATCTGTGAATGACAAAGGTTGTGATAGATGAAATATTACCTGCCATGGTGAGAGGAGGGGCATGCCCGGTTACTTGCATCACTTGTCATACCCAGGCAAATGCATGTACTTTTCAAAAGACAAAGGTGTGGACTAATGGTAAAAAGATCGAGAAAACGTCTTAAGAATTTGAAATCCTTTATTTATCGCTAAGTTGGGCAGTATCAGTAGCACAGTCTTAATTTAAGTTCTCCAAATGTTAACAAAGATTGGTTATTAAGAGTAACTACAGTGTATTTTTGATTAACAAATGTGAACAACAGTTGCCGTTGGTTATTTGCTTTACAAGTAGAATTGAAGATTATAGTTATAACTACAAGATCAGCAAATGAAAGCGAATATGACAAAAATCCAATTGTAGATTTTCATCTGTGGTCCTTTGATCGCCTCTATAGTTTCTTTTATATTCTGAACTAAGTTTCCATGTTCAGCAAAGTTAACAGTGAATTGTAAGGTCACCATAACACTTTTTCTGTGGAAAATACTTTACTAAGAAAAGACCTGCAAAAGATAGCATGAAATTAAGATACATATATAATATTATGAATTTACATGGGCCTGTACCTTGTGCCATCCATTGTTATCACATATGATTATTATTTTAGTTTAACATGGGTATTTACACATTACTACGAAGTGTAGATACGATATTTCAAGTGATAATATGTGTTTTATTCCAATTTATTTATAATCATTCGCTTTGATTGAAAGTGAAAGTAAAAACATGCCGTTTCACAATGAGAATGTGTTGTTTACATTCATTCGGGATGTTGTTTTCGATCCTTGTGGCATTAAATATGTGTTATTACGCACAGCAGTGCTTACCTGTGTTTATTAGATGTTTTACCATCGATCATAAGCAATATTTTATCCATAATCCATATTTAAAGCTCTATTGTGCTTCGATTTCCCTCCAAGTTTCATTACTTCAGCTTGAAGTTTCGCACGCGGAACTTCGTTTGTTAGCCGCTCGCTGATTGGATAGCGACCTAGCTCTTCTGTGTATATAAACAAACTCGCTGAAGGTGTCAGACTACCAAATTTTACCAAAAGGACAGTTAGATTTCGGAGGTTAACCTACAAGTATAATGGTCCAGAAGGTGTTTCTCAATAACCCTTCTATATTACAGAAGGTGAATATTTTCTAGTAATAGTGTGCACCTTCTCTAGTTACCAGAGTTACAACATACTCTCCTTTCGTAGTTCTGTTTATCTTAGCAACGTCTGCTACGCCCCTTCATTCCCATACAGTTGCACCTTCGTATCCAAAGTGGTGCACCTTCTATTTTTACACCTTCCCTACGAAACCAGGAAGTTCCAAATATCGCGTATGTTTTATGTACTTTTATACAATAAATTATTATATATTTCTTTTATACAAAGACTTTCTCTTGTTTTGTTGACTGTCAAAAGGTACAGAGCCCACGTATTATTATAACGAAATGCTGTAGAGTACAGGAAAAGTAATAATTTATACCAGGTTTAATGCAAATATTTAGACACAGCATATTTTCGTTGCAATATTGATAATGTAAATTGAAATGATCGTCATAAAATGCATCAAATAAACCAGTAAACATTAGAAAAACACAAATGGTACACAGGCAAATTATGACAAGTTTAACATTATACTGGTATATGTTGATTTCATGTACTGGATCAACTTCACTTCTCCTTTTTCAAATAATCCCACCCACAACCTCCCCTCATTGTCCAAACTCAGTCCACGAGGCTTGCATAAATCACAATTATCCACACATCTCAGGAACTGGCCATCTTGATCCAGAATATGTAGACAGTTATTTTTCCAATCTGTCACAATGATCTGACTCAATGAGTCCGTCACTAGCTCATTAGGATCAAATGCTTCCTTACTTTTGGCTGGTGTACCATCGAATCGGAATCGAACTCTTCCTGTTTTGTCCACCACTACCACTGTGTCCGCATTACGATCAGAGACACAGATATCTTCATTGTTGTTCTCTGCTACAAACAGCATATAGTCACCGCTTCCATAGATTGGTTTTTCATACTCATCTTTAAATATTTTCTGTTTCACTTTCTGTCCCTGATAACGGACAATCTTATTTTGATCTCCATTATACAGATTAACCAGTATGTCGCCTGATTTAGTACTGCTCAGTCCTGCTGGTTTCCAGTCATTTGGTGTTGTGATCATTAACTCTGACCTTCCATGTCTGTAAATGTTAACAGTTCTATTGTTATAATCACTGTACATGAGTTCTCCCTTTCTGTTCACTGATATACATATCAGTTCTTCCTCTTTAGGTTTTGGGCTATCATCAGAAGAGTTTAATGTTGGTGTAACAGTATCATGTACAGATCCATGCATGTCAACACATCTTATGGTTCTTCCTTTTTCACTTACCCAAGATTTATCAGCTCCAACACAAACTACTCTAAATAGTGGTTTAATTCCAGTAGAAAATGTGGCAACAACTTTGGCTTTGTCTAATAACTCTTTCGTAGATGTCTGTGCCAGTGTAGCCTTCCATTCACCTAGCTCAATACTGAGTTCTCTCCCTTGAACTGTGTTGGTTCTCAATAAAGGAATGAAAACGTCAGTGACTTCAGGAATGTCTCTGTACTCTTTCACTTTCGGTTTGAAGTTGTTGACTTGAGACACTTCATTGGACTTCAGCATCTTCTTGTTTTGATCAACTGTTTCGATCATGTCTGCAATCAGGTTGTTGAGTTTGGTTTGGCGTAATTTCAGTACGGCCATGTGGTCATCCTTCATGGATTGGTTCATAGAACTCAGTTTATTGAAGATGATGTCCACTTCTTGGTGCCAAACTTGTCTTTGTTTCTCTGTTTCTTTCTCAAGTTCAGCATATTTATTCATAAAATTGGTTATCCCTGTTTCTGTATCTTCATTTTTCTTCGTGGATCTCGGGAGAATACTAGATTCGATTTCGTGAATTTCCTCCTGGATTTTCTTTTTCTTTTCATTGAATATGTTTGTTATATCTCCCACCTTGTGTCCATTATGGGAAGTGATGACACACATCATGCACACAGGGACATCACACTGCTGGCAGTGGGCCTCACATCTCCAGTTAGGGTGAAACCTGCACTCTGAAAAAATTATCTGTATAATTCCCTCCTTGAAAGAAGCGATTTCATGGGTTAATGATTTCTGTTTCCTTACATGTTTGTTAATACAATCTTCACATAAACTGACTTGACACCTGTTGCAAAAATGCTGGATAGGGTTGTCACAAAAGTCACATGTGTTGACTTTCTGAGCACAGGAAATCGAAATATCTGTAGCCATTCTCTTGCTTGATTGTTGAAACTTTAATCTGTAAATAAATTGTTTTTACAGGAAATTGTTATGAGGCATGATGTATCTCAAATACGATATTTTATTTTTGGAAATTCTGGAACTGATCAAGGAAAAGATTATGTAAGGGTCATCATGATTACCAGAAACTTAAGATTAAATTATAAAAACGTTCTACTACGGAGTAACACTAGAGAGGAAATGTCAAACATGACAGATTATGAACTCCAAAGTTCAGGGATGCGAGTGAACATTGTCAAATAATATGAGTAATAAAAGCGAACATTTCAGCCGGATTTCTTTTTTCTTGTCATTCAAGATGTTTGTTATATCTGTCACATTGTGACTTTTTCGCTCATTTAGAGACGTCATATCGTATGAAGATGATGGGCTTCGAATTTAGACCTATACTCGGCACTCGGGGCCATTGAGCAGTAAGGGTTCTTTATCGTGCCAACGCCTACCTTGACAGGGACCTCGGTTTTTTAAAGGTCTTATCCGAAAGACCCGTGACTTTCAATTCTTAAGCCGGGCGGTTGGCGATGGAACAGTCACTACCTTTGTTGAGGCGGTGCGGCAACAAGAATTGAATCTGGGCCTTCCGATCACGTTCGCGAACTCTCCACCACTATTCTACCCTGGCTGCTGATGTAATTTTGAATATTTAAATAATCAGTACCAGATCCAGATTGGAGGGAGGGAGGGGTCAGGGGTCTGGAGAAATCTCTCTGAAGGATTTTCAGAGTTATTGAATTTAAATCATCAATTGCAAGTGACTAAAAATGACCCACATAGGAACCCCATTTGCTTATCAAAAAACTTTTTGCGTCAATTTTTTATGTTTTCCTAGAAAAAAATTCTTACATCCGCCTTTATGAAAACGTTAATTGAAATATCTCTTTTTTACTTACTCGAGAAAAATTTGTCTTTCCTTTTTCCAATTTTTATTCTGATTCATTTATATATTTACTTGTTTATTTATCTATCTATTTATTTATTTTTGGGATGGGTAAATTCTGGTTTACATAGTTAATGTACAAGTGTAAAGTGTCAAATGGAAAGTAAATTTCTTTTAAAATGGTATAATACATAATTATTGATCAAAGCAAATATGGTAAATCAGAAAATATAACTTGATCAGCTAAACTGTTCTTCTAGCAGCCACCCCGATATTACGTAGACTATGATTTTACTTTCAGTCTTTGTCAAACCGGAAGTATCAGATTTCATAGTTGTTATCAGGATATACAAATCAGATAACCTGTAGATCACTCCATGATATCCATGCTTAACTTATTTGTCCTTTCAAATACATGTATTCAAGTTTCTAACAGACAACACAGAACAGAATTTCAGAGAGCCTGATAAAGAAATTAATATTCCTTTGTAAATGTTTCTATTGAAATAAATTATCACTTATTATTTATCAAAAAAAAATTTACTTACATGTGTAATTCTAACAAACTCAACCCTTTCAAAAGTAGAAAATTACTCAAGAATGAGTACTTCTTATTTGATATTAACAAAGAAGCTGTTGATTTTACTTTTAATCCTTTCTATCTATATTGTTTTGTTTTAAATTTATAATATGTTGTTCACAGTCCTGTAAAAGCATAAAATCGCAGGATTTCATAACATCCGCATTTTTGAGCCTTAAGTTGATTTTCTCTTTTCAAAAGTAAGAAAGCGTTGTCTATTTTCCTCTTCATTCTTCTTAGATAATGGCACTTATTGATTCCATAAACTTTTGGTAAAAAAAATTCCATCAATAGAGTTCTTGCTCTATGTTGCTTCGTTGAAATGGTTATTTACTTCAACAGTATTTTGATTTGATTGTTCAGAATAAAGGAGGTATATCACTGAAAGATGATCAACTTTTCTTCTTGGTTAATAATCACATTCGCTTTGTCGGTATTCTTTTAGCATTGCACGTATTTAATCTTCTAATATTAGGGTCTCACGTAACACTGTATTTCGCAGATTGTAGAAAGGTAGTTATGTTAGGTGATATTTTTTCCAGGATTTTTTTTTCTAAATGAAAAAAATAAAAGATGACGGATAATGCACGACCTCATAAATCCCATAAACATTACAAAATTTTGAGCAGAACATAAAACACGGACGCCTGGAAACTCCAGAGGTAGGATTAGGTGCCTAGGAAGAATAAGCATCCCCTGTCAATCGGTCACATCCGCCGTGGGTGTTTATATTGATCAGATATATGAAAAACATAACTTGTCCGCCCTCACCATCAAAACTGTATACATGTAATTCTGTGTATATGCAAACACGAAGAACACACGTCGTACACGATCATATTCTGAAATGTTACATTATAAGTTTATTTCATGTACTGGATCACCTTTACTTCTCCTTTTTCATACAATCCAACCCACAACCTTTCATCGCTGTCCAAAATCAGTCCTAGGGGCCTAGATAATTCGCAATTATCCACACATCTCAGGAACTCTCCATCTTGATCCAGAATATGTAGACAGTCGTTGGTCCAATCTGCTACAATGATCTGACTCAGAGAATCTGTCACAAGCTGATTTGGATCAAATTTCTTCTTCCCTATGGCTGGCGTACTATCGTATCGGAATCGGACTCTTCGTGTCTTGTCCACTACAACTACAGCGTCACCATTACGATCAGAGACACAGATATCTTCATTGTTGTTCTCCGCAACAAAAAGGGTCCATTTACCACCTCCATAGATTAGTTTTTCATTTTCGTCTTTAAATATTTCCTGTTTCACTTTCTGTCCCTGATAACGGACAATCTTATTTTGGTCTCCATTATACAGACTGACCAGTATGTCTCCTGATTTGGTACTGGTCAGTCTTGCTGGATTCCAGTCCTTTTGTGTTGTGATCAATACCTCTGTTTTCCCGTGTTTTACAATGTCCACCGTTTTATTTTCATAATCACTGTATATTAATTCTCCGTTTTTGGTCACAGAGATATCTTCAGGGTGTGTTTTACAAGAAACAGTCTCCAGTATAGACCCGTTAATGTCAAGACAGTCTACGGTATTGTTTTCTCCACTTACCCAAGCTTTATCTGATCCTGAACAGGCCAGTCTGTATAGAGGTTTAACTGCAATAGGAAAAGTGGTAATAATTCTTGCTCTGTCTAATAATTCTCTTGCAGATAAATAGGATACTTCATCTGTCAGGTTGGAGAGTGATGAGTCTGATGACTGTGTCAGTGTAGCCTTGTATTCACCTAACTCTATACTGAGTTCTCTCCCTTGAACTGTGTTAGTTTGCAGTGCAGGAACTGACACATAAATGTCTAGACCAATATTCCTGTATTCCATAAGTCTAGATTTGAAGTTTGTGATTTTGGCAACTTTATTGGACTTGAGTATTTCTTTGTTTTCTTGGACTGTTTTAATCATGTCTGGAATCAGATTTTTGAGTTTGGTTTGGTGTGTCTTCAGTACAGCTAGTTGGTTATCTCTCATGGATTTGAGCAAAGATCTAAGCTTATTGAAGATGCTGCCTACTTCTTGATGCCACAATTTTCTGTGTCTCTTTATTTCTTTTTCAACTTCATCAAATTTTTTCATTGCTAGTTCTTTGTCTTTTTCTATATTTTCATTTTTCTTCATGTAACTGGGAATGATATTGGATTCTATTTCATGATTTTCTCTCTGGATATTTTTTTTCTTGTCATTAAAGTTTTTTGGTATGTCTCCCACGATATGTCCATTATGGGAAGTGATGACACATTTCATGCAGACAGTGACATCACACTGTTGACAGTGGCCCTCGCATCTATGATATGGGTGAAATTCACACTCTGTAAAAACATGTTCTGTCTTCCTGTTCTTGAAAGGAACAATGACATGTGTGTGAGGCCGGTGCTTGTCCACATGTTTACTGACACAACCCGCACATAAACTGACTTGACATCTGTTACAGAATTGTTGAGTGGGCGTGTCACAAAGGTCACACGTGATGACTTCCTGAGCCAGGGAGATGGGAGTAGCCATTCTTTAACTTGATTGTCAAAATTTGAATCTGTAAATAAATTATTGATACAGGAAGAAATTGTTTAAATAATTGTAATTTTTTTTAATCTGTAAGATAGAAATTTGTAGAGGGCATTAAAAATCCTCAACTTTGAGTTTTAAACTTCAAGTGTACAAAGTTATACACATGCAAGCTCATCTTTGAGTTTTAAACTTCAATCTACAAAGTTATACACATGCAAGTTTCTGAAATGTTTCTAAAAACAGACAATATACTAAAAAGTCTATAAGCAAACTACAAATGAACCTGGATAATAAATATTGATCACAGCAGGTGTCTACGTCAGAAAATGTACCTTAATCAGCTGGCCTAACGTTCTTAATTCTAGCCACCGCCCTGATATTAACTAGACCAGAGTTTATACTTCCGGTTTGGTGTTTATTCTTCGTTATCATATCATAGATGATGATAAGTAAAATGTCGATCACTTTATAAGTTGTTCTTCTTATCATATATTCTAGTTTCAAATAGAAATTATTTTACTAGTAGATTTTTTCCATTTATTTTTTACTGAAAAAAATCATCATTCTTTATATTGATGAAAAATTGAAAATAAAATACTCGTATATATTTTTACTTACCTACGCCCCCTTTTCAAACAAGATGACCATAGGCCACATCATTCACCTGAGCACTGTGGCTAGGAAGAAAGCAAATCTCAGTTCAATATTGAAAAGCTTTAATGCATAAGTGGTCCCGACCTACCCCTAAAAAAGAGAAATTTATTCCTCCCAAAAAATGTGAGCAAGATTTTCATATTTTTTTTTCCTATGAAATTGTTACCTTCAGTAAACATTGAAAATTGTAGTTATTTATCAGTTAAGCCATTTAAATGCCTCATGTTTTCCTTTGCAAACATATTAATATATCACATACATCATAAACCAGATTTGAAAAGTAAAATATCAATTTTTTTTGTCGTAGCGTTAGAAATTTTATCATTGTACATGTATCTGTAAAGATTTACAGCCACTGAATATATTTTCTCCTTTATTTCTTATAAAAACTCGATTCCAATTGACCAACTCTAAACTACATGTGGTTAGAACATGTTTTCTAAAGCCATCTAAAGCCATATCTAAATGAGAGAGTTTTAAAAAAGTAAGCTCTTCCATCAATGCAATGCACGGATCAATGATATAATATTTTATGTACTTATATCCACTTAATACAAATAATTTATACAGATATAAATATAAGCATTGAATTGTCGATCTTTGAATGTCAATACGGACATTAAAGTTGCAAATGTTCCAGAAACAAAAATTAGACTCACGTGGGTTATGTTTCATCTATGGCTATTTTTCTAAATGAATTTTTGTTGTTTTGTGGACATTCTTCATGTTGCTCTTGATTTTCCGTACAAATTCTATTTATGGTCATCTTTTGAGAACAAGAGGCCCAAGGTCCTTAACGGTCACCTGAGTATAATACAACAATTTAGAAGTTAAATACACTGATAGATGAAGCTTTGTTGCCCTAAAGCAAGAGAAGTAGGAAGATCAGCATCAACAAAATAATTAGTCTAGTATTCAGTATCAACTCATAACTTAAGTTCTAATCTGTCCCCCACTTAAAATTATCACCATGCAGACTATTAACAAACTATTAGTGCTTCTGTACTATTTATAAACCCATATTAAGACCTCTAGCATTGACCTCTCTTATGGTCTTTGAAGAACTTTTAATAAGATAAGTTATTTTTGTCTCATTTTTATTTATCTATTACTTACAGGTCTGCCTGATTATTAAAACTAAGAAAGTACTTTTTGAATTATACGATAAACATTCTTACATAATTATCTTATTCTATTAATCTTTCAAATACATTATTTACAGTGATTAATTATCAAAGGTGAATGGAAAAGGGGAATAACTTCTCTCAGTAGAATACAAATTAATAGAGCCCTGTCCAGGACCAGAATGCTTAGACAAATTGTCCAGATGTTCAAAAATCTGGTAGAAATACGCTTACTTATATCATTTAAACTTTTACTCAGCTTGCTTCCAATATGCCCAGAAGCAGAGAAGAATTTCACAGGTACAGTGCATTTTCACTACAGATTCAAAAAAGCCTTACCCTAACACCAGAACCCAAGACCAAAGGTCAAGAAATTTACAAATTTGGAAGAGTTACCCTCATCATCATAACTATGGACTTCAAAGAATTAACACTTTTCCACTATATTATCAAAAGCCCCCCCCCCTCCTCGTTATGCCAGAACCCCTGACCCTAGGACCACAAGATTTAAAAATTCTGTTCGAAGCTCCCATCTTCATCATAGCTAAGCAATTTATTTATCAGCTCAACACTAAGGAGCAGGCAGGATTAGTTAATGATTAATTAATAGAGTTAATGCATTTTCACTATATAATCAATAGAGCCCCCCTCCCCCCCCCCCCTCAAGAACCCCAAAAACTGAGGCCATGTATTTAAAAATTTTGGAAGAGGCATCCTTGCCTATCTTAATCATGCATTTAGTTTGTTTAAATAATCTCCAGTAGCAAAGAAGAAGATTTTCATAGAATCAATGCATTTTCACTATATAATCAATAGAGCCCCGCCCTAACACCGGAACCCCTGACCCTGGGGCCATGAAATTCACAATTTTTAAAAAGGCATCCTTATGCATCATAACCATGCACTTAGTTTGTTTAAATAATCTCCAGTAGCAGAGAAGAAGATTTTCAAAGAATCAATGCATTTTCACTATATAATCAATAGAGCCCCACCCTAACACCAGAACCCCTGACCCTGGGGCCATGAAATTCACAATTTTTGAAAAGGCATCCTTATGCATCATAACCATGCACTTAGTTTGTTTAAATAATCTCCAGTAGCAGAGAAGAAGATTTTCAAAGAATCAATGCATTTTCACTATATAATCAATAGAGCCCCACCCTAACACCAGAACCCCTGACCCTGGGGCCATGAAATTCACAATTTTTGAAAAGGCATCCTTATGCATCATAACCATGCACTTAGTTTGTTTAAATAATCTCCAGTAGCAGAGAAGAAGATTTTCAAAGAATCAATGCATTTTCACTATATAATCAATAGAGCCCCACCCTAACACCAGAACCCCTGACCCTGGGGCCATGAAATTCACAATTTTTGAAAAGGCATCCTTATGCATCATAACCATGCACTTAGTTTGTTTAAATAATACCCAGGAGCAGAGGAGAAGATTTTCAAAGAATTAATGCATTTTCACTATATAATCAATACAGCCCCGCCCTAACACCAGAACCCCTGACCCTGGGGCCATGAATTTTACAATTTTGGAAGAGGCACTCTTGCTCATCATAACTATGTACTTAGTTTATCATCTTAATGCCCAGGAGCAGAGGAGAAGATTTTCAAAGAATTAATGCATTTTCACTATTTAGTCAATAGAGCCCCGCCCTAACACCAGAACCCCTGACCCTGGGGCCATGAAATTCACAATTCTTGAAAAGGCACTTTTGCTCATCATAACTATGTACTTAGTTACTTTATTTAATACCCAGGAGCAGAGAAGAAGATTTTCAAAGAATTAATGTTTTTTCACTATATAAACTATAGAGCCCCGCCCTAACACCAGAACCCCTGACCCTGGGGCCATGAATTTCACAATTTTGGAAGAGGCACTCTTGCTCATCATAACTATGTACTTAGTTACTTTATTCAATACCCAGGAGCAGAGAAGAAGATTTTCAAAGAATTAATGCATTTTCCCTATATAATCAATAGAGCCCCGCCCTTATACCAGAACCCCTAACCCTGGGGCCATGAATTTCACAATTTTGGAAGAGGCACTCTTGCTCATCATAACTATGTACTTAGTTACCTTATTTAATACCCAGGAGCAGAGAAGAAGATTTTCAAAGAAATAATGCACTTTCACTATATGATCTATATAGCCCCACCCTGGGGCCAGAACCCCTGACCCTGGGGCCATGAATTTCACAATTTTGGAAGAGGCACTCTTGCTCATCATAACTATGTACTTAGTTACTTTATTTAATACCCAGGAGCAGAGAAGAAGATTTTCAAAGAATAAATGCATTTTCACTATATAATCTACAGAGCCCCGCCCTAACACCAGAAGCCTGACCCTGGGGCCATGAATTTCACAATTTTGGAAGAGGCACTCTTGCTCTTCATAACTATGTACTTAGTTACCTTATTTAATACCCAGGAGCAGAGAAGAAGATTTTCAAAGAAATAATGCACTTTCACTATATGATCTATATAGCCCACCCTGGGGCCAGAACCCCTGACCCTGGGGCCATGAATTTCACAATTTTGGAAGAGGCACTCTTGCTCATCATAACTATGTACTTAGTTTATCATCTTAATGCCCAGGAGCAGAGAAGAAGATTTTCAAAGAATAAATGCATTTTCACTATATAATCTACAGAGCCCCGCCCTAACACCAGAAGCCCTGACCCTGGGGCCATGAATTTCACAATTTTGGAAGAGGCACTCTTGCTCTTCATAACTATGTACTTAGTTACCTTATTTAATACTCAGGAGCAGAGAAGAAGATTTTCAAAGAAATAATGCACTTTCACTATATGATCTATATAGCCCCACCCTGGGGCCAGAACCCCTGACCCTGGGGCCATGAATTTCACAATTTTGGTAGAGGGCTCAATGCTTATTACAATGATGCCAACAGTTTGACTGCTTGATGGCCGGGAGTAAAGAAGAAGATTTTTAAAGATTGCATTATTTTTGGTGGTTTTAGCCCCACCCCTCAGGCCCCAGGGGGGCAGGGACCATGAAATTCACAAATTTTGTTCCCCTTCACCGATAGATGCTATATGCTAAATTTGGTTGAAATTGGTTAAGCGGTTATAGAGAAGAAGCTAAAAATGTTCAAATGTTAACGCACGACGCACACCGCACGACGCACGCCGACGGACGAGAACGGATAGCAATAGGTCACCTGAGTGACTCAGGTGACCTAAAAAG